GTGTGTGTGTGTGTGTGTAAGAGAGAAAGAGAAAAAGAGAGAAAGAGAGAGCGTGTGTGCATGTGTATGTGTATAAATGTGTGTGTATGTGTGTGTGTGTGTGTGTGTGTGTGCACAGGTCAACACATAAGCGTGCGCACGCACACACACACACACACATTTATACACATGCACAAACATTCTCCCTTTCACATTCTCTCTTACACACACACACACACACACACACACATATATAAGTATTTATCATGCCACAGCAAATTCCTCTTTGTGGAGATAAAAAAAACCTTCCATTTGTCTCATCTTTCCCCGCGGCAGACTCACCGAGCTGACACAGGTCAGCACTGGACATGTTGGCCGTGTCCAGGCCCGAGTGTGTGATGGTGGAAGAGCTGGACGTGTGCGAGATGGCGCCCAGACTGTTCAAGGACAGGGAGAGTTCCCGCTGGCGCAGGAGAGGCGGCAGCTCCGCGTCCACGCTGCTCGCATTGTTCCGGCGCGACAGAACGTCTGAGGGTGGACGGCAAACACTTCTTTTAGTTTCACAGTTTTACGGCACTTGCAACACAATAAGATCATATAACTGCCGAAGATTAGAGGTGTTACAACAGAGTGACAAAAACAAAAAAGAAGGAGGGGAGATAGAGACGATTGATTTTTTATAGGAAAGAAGGAGCAAACCACACCAGAGCACCCGCCAACCACCCACCCAAACACTTCTTTGTTGGACTTTGAAGACAAGATATACATCTCTATAACAAGAGCTTACGGACGGTGCCTCTGGCAGGTCTTACTTCTATCTTTTCTGTCCCTCTGATGTTCCTTCTGCTTGCTTTGCTTTTTCCCCTGCACCAAATTTCCCTTGGTATGTTGTTTGATTTTAGTTTTAGTTAGAGTTTTACAGCACTTGCAACACAATAAGTTCATATAAGTGTGAAGGATAGATGTGTTACAAGAGCGTAACATACACAAAAAAGTAGGAGGAAATAAAAGGATGATAGTCGTCTGATAGGAAAGAAGGAGCAAACCACACCAGAGCACCCGCCAACCACTCAATTCGTATGTTGATGATGATAATAATAATAATAATAATAATAACAACAGTGATGATGATAATAGTAAAAAAACAGCGCCTAATCCATAAAAGGCTGTTAGTGCTGTACAGTTTACAAAGCAGAATTATCCCCCAACTTTACTAACAAATCAAAGGACAAACGATGCATATTGTGAGATCATTTAATAACACACACACACATACGCACACGCACACAAATACACACACAACTCCCAGACCCACCCGATTCTCACACACAAAATATACTGGTAGAGGATAGTGTTGAAAAAAGTAAGAGCTGACTTTGAGGACTGTTTGGGGGGGGGGGGGGGGGGGGGCGCTAATTAGTAGTACATCCAATTTCTGAAAAACGAATGGCATACAAACAACAAACAAAACTAAGAGACAACACAAGTTGCTAAATATACTCACCCCCATTTACTGTGTGCATTCGAGGACTCCTTAACCTCCTCGATGAACTTGCAGATTTATTTCCGACGGACTGTGTTGAAGGCTGATGGCGTGCGGCGTGATGAGCGCTGTGGTTGTGATGATGATGATGATTCTGCTGCTGACGTTGCTGCTGCTTCGCCTCCAGTTTTTTCTGAATCATCTGTGTGCGTTTGCGTCGTCTTTGGAAGAACATGGCGAGGGCACCAATCAGGGCGACACCCAACGAAAGGCTGAGAGCTGTCAATTTAATGGGTCGAGGAAGACGTGCCAACCGCGACAATTCCGCTGGGATAGTAGTTTTTAAACCAGCCAAGCTTTTGTACATGTTGAAATTCTTAAGATGTGAGACTAGCTTTTTGTTATGGGAGAATCTTTTCAACTGTTGTGAAATGCAAAGACGGTATTTGTGTTGCTATCCCGAAACCATCGGGACAAAAAGTATAGACATCATCATTCTGTTTCTCATGGACAAGGCCAAAACACACGCTGTGGACTCATGGATGTCCGGGTAGTTTCTGGTGACAAAACAAGGAAGCGTGGACTTTCAAGAGTGCAGAAGTAGGATAGGCTCCGTTGTGAGACAAACTGAAACAAAGATACATGAAAATTTGAAAAACTCACACTTTAAAATTACATCAACAATCATTGTGGATACAACAAGCTCAGTTTTACAAAAAGATAAAGGAAGGAGAAGGCAGGAAGGTTTAGAGCAAATAGACTAGATGTGTATAAATACACTAGATGTGTATAAATACACTAGATGTGTATAAATACACTAGAGGTGTATAAATACACTAGATGTGTATAAATACACTAGATGTGTATAAATACACTAGATGTGTACGGCAAGGACAGATTCCCATTCATCCTTTTGAACACAAATTATACTTATTTGTCATTGCACAACTAAAGCAGTTGCACATGAAGGGGTGTGGTTGAATTAAAGTGTCAGCCCCATCCCCTAAACAAAGAGGATTCCTCACGTTTTGTCACAAATCTAAACATCGGCATGCCATTATCAGATAAGGAGATAAAAACAAAAAACAAAATGCTTGGGAGTGGAATATCACTCACCCACCACAATAAGAGAAACAAGCAGACGTGCCAGACGTTTCGTCAATTATTGATCAAATGTCCAAAAAGAAAAAAAGATGTGAATAGTATGTGATCAAAAGTCATATATGATAGTACTAATGATTTCAAACATTTGGTTTCACAATTTACGAAGCGGAGTACGACCTGGGCAAAGCAAAGTTTCTAGCTGCCCCGATATCCCCCAAAATAGCCACTCGAATCTCTCAAGCCCACAGTAAACTAAGGCATTAGCCACAATCCCAAGGTGACAATGCATTGTCATTGCTTTTTGCAATTGAAAGAAAGACGCGACTTTCCAACGCACAGGTAAATATGGAATGGCTCGGGTAGTTGCAAAATCTCCTCGCTTCTCCTGGTGCGTAAAAAAGCTTCTCGACTTTAAGCAGTAACCTACGACTTTTGCTTCAAATTGTGTGAAATAACTTGAGACCTGGAGTTTGACCTCTTCTCCGATTGCTTGCCGAGTTTGAAGACTCTACAAGGTCATCTGTTTATCTGAATAGCTTAAAGTAGAGGGTACTCCTCTAGTAAAAAAGGTCTGTCCCCTCAGCGCGCAACAGCACCGCACAGAGTCCTGTTCAGGACACACAGCGACAATCGGGATTGGCTTCGCGGGCTAATAGATTATTGATAAGTCTATAGATACGTATATACAATTGGTGGCCGTCTTAGTTCCAACTATAGGCCTACCACCCGGGGCGGAGCCACTGACTGATGTGTCTTTAGGCCATTCCCAAAGGGGGGACATTTCTCGTTCTAATGCACAGTAGAATTGTAAATGGGCCGATCAAACAATGTCAAGCTCATAATTGTGCCTGAACTACAACAGGGAACCAGCGTCAATTGCCACTGAGTGAAGCGGTGTCAAGTCTGAAAACGTTCTATGATGATGATTTATCTTCAGCTTTGACTTTCTATTCATAATGTGTTACGAACACATGACATGAATAAGTTAAGATCTAACCCCCCTCTCATTAGATCTAGATCTTGATAAGTTATAACGAGTATGGTACTTACACACATTCCTGGGTTCAAAAGGAAATAGTAGGTCAATTTCAGAAAGTTTCGTACTCAAATTCTTCTTTTTACCCACACAATAGTATTCAAAATAATAATAATAATAAATAGCATTTGTATAATGCATGTCCCCACTCGAAAGCAAGCTCTCTATGCGTTTTACACTATATTATTACCCCAGCAGACCATACAACACTTAGAAACATTCTCAGCTTCCCGGGAAGCATACAGTGCAAGCATCTGGAGCGCTCAAACACTAACAAACTGACAAGATCTTTCATTGTCTATAGCTGGGTACCCATTATCACCTGGGTGAAGTGGGGAAAATTCGTGTAAAGTGCCTTTCCCAAGGATACAACGTCCGGCCCGCGGCTTGAACCCCCGAACCCGCAACCTCACAATAACAAGTCCTGTAGCCTAACCGATGCCAAAACTATCTATAAACTTATTTTTATCAGGTAGGCCCTAATCATTTTGCATGAATTGAAGTTCATGAAAGATTTTGTGTACAGTTAAATGGAAGTCTTATTTCCTGGCTCTCCTGTTGAGCTCCTCACGTCTAAGTGGGTCAATTTGTTCTCTAATTTCATACGAACATCAAGAGCTACCAACTTCAACTTGGCGTGTTTTGAATGAGATGTAGGCCAAGGCTAGCCTACGCTTCAGTGTAGAACCAACACAGGTGATTTTAGAAGTAGGCCACAAACTCACACACAAACTCAAGCAAAAATACACTTTAAATATACCGGAGAAGATAAATCTGGGAGAGAGAGAGAGAGAGAGAGAGAGAGAGAGAGAGAGAGAGAGAGAGAGAGAGAGAGAGAGAGAGAGAGAGAGAGAGAGAGAGAGAGAGAGAGAGAGAGAGAGAGACACACACACACACAGAGACACAAAGGCGTGGTGCGTAAGCGAAAGTTCACGAACGCAGAACACCAAGCACACATAGGCTAGATTTACTCACAAACACAAAAGAGCTCCAATTTACCCGGTGGCAATTGATGCTGGCGTCAACTGTCACCACGTCACTCGGTGGCAACTGACACTACCAACAATACCTTTTTAAAAAAACGCAACTTACGCTTTTGTTTCCGATTGTGTACATAATGCATAAATGTTTGGAGTTAGGCCGGAACCACTTCTCCCGAAGAGAACCCGGAATTTGCAGGCAACCATTCAGAGAGACTCTAGATCTAGATCTAGGTCCAATAGTATTTTATTATAATATAGGAAGTGGCTATCCTCACCCGGGGTGAGAATAAAATTACGATCGACCTCTCACCCCGGGTGAGACTTGCCAGCTTTGGCTATTCTCACCCGGTGTGAAACAAGACATGTTTTTCCTAATTTTGGAATACTGTCTATCGGTTTGGATTATAATGAAATTGATAAAAGCAAAGAAAAAATGACATTATAGCACAAAAGTAAGCTAATTTGATCGTCTACAAAGATGCTATGGCTATTTCACTTTTCGAATCGAGCCCAACTACGCGGGTCGCCATTTTGTTTAGCCTGGAAGTTCTCGCAAGATCTACTCCTCCCCTCTGGAATGTTTGTTCACGACGCAGAATTCTACAATTCTGTTATCACAGTGTAGAATTCTGTAGTTCAGGGTGAACGCTACACTGGTTGGCCTAGGCTATAGCGGTGAACAAACACCGGGTGAGAATAGCCAAAAGACTCGCCTGCGCTATTCTCACCCGGGGTGAGAATAGAGGTGGCCTATATAATGTGAGGCCGTCAATCGAGTCCGAATAAAAAAATTTCATATATTCGGACTCGAGTCCGAATAAGAAAAAATGTTATTCGGATACGGGTCCGGAAAAAAGGAAGTGTCTTCGTTCTATAGATCTAACGTTCAGTGCTTCCAATTTTCCGCCATTTTTTAGTTTCCCCCACACCTTGTCTGCCGATCAAATGCCTGCCGCCTCATTGATACGCCCCCCCCCCCCCCAACCCCCATGATTCCCACTTTCTTTGTTGTAGAAAAAGGTAAAATTGAAGATTAGCAGATCTCCTGGCACCTGCATATTATGAGCTGTGTAAAAAAAAAAAGACCGATTCGTTCAAATACACAAGCCTGTGTCATCTCGATTGTTTACCAAGAAAAGGTTGTGTTGCTGTGTAGAGCCGAGCATACGGCAACTTTTGATTCCATAGACCAGCGCACAATTCATTACGTAGATCTACGTCAAGACTAGCTTATTATTGTAATAATGATCAGTTGCCCGGGGGGGGGAGGGAGACTGACGCGTATGCGACGTTCAACGCCCGGACCGATAGCACCCCCCCCCTTCCCCAACACGCACACACAGCCACACATGTGCAGGCCACCCATCCGACCCCGACACACGCTAACGAGCCATCTTTAATTGCTTCTGATGACCTCTTGACAAATAAACATTTATTAGAAGCGCTTTAACTTTTCAGGCCGGCCTCAATTTCATAATAAGATAAAAACTCGGCTCCGGCACAATTTAACGCCATTTTGCCCGAAGTGATCCCGGTCTCTACCCAGCCTGAGGCAAGTCACGAGTGAGGCAGGACAGGAAGCCGGAAGTGATGTCGTGCTGGACAAGAATCAGAGTCCGAATAACATTTTTTCGAGTCCGAATAGTCACTTCGATAATGTAATACAAATAATATATCAATCAATTAAATAATTGACACTCCTGTAAAATTGCGGTCCCGTTTAGGGATACTCGTTTTGACCCCACCAACGATTTCTTCTGGTTCTAAACGATTACTTTTTGAAGTGCAGGCCAATAGGCCTCTATGAGAGATCGATAGCCAATCAAACCTAATTGCAAAACATCAAATTATGGTCAAATGCTAATACAAGTGAAATTTTACTGCTCATTTTGTTGGATAGATCTACTGATAAAACATCGATACTGAATATTTAAATCAGTATTGATATCCAGTAACTTTGTTTGTGTGATTTATTTCTAGATCTAATAATAATAATAATTGCATTTATATAGTGCATTTGCATATCCATGCTCAAGAGCATGCTCTATGCATGCGCTTTACAACTATTGTTACCCCAGCAGACCCTCTGAGAACACTCAGAAACATTCTCAGCTTCCGAGGAAGCATACAGTGCAAGTTGCGGATTTCACGCGCTCAAACACTATCAAACTGACAAGATCTTTCACTGTCTATAGCTGGGTACCGATTTCCACCTGGGTGAAGTGAAGAAAATTTGTGCAAAGTGCCTTTCCCAAGGACACAACGTCGGGACCTTGACAGGATTCGAACCCACGACCTTACGGTTGCGAGTCCGAGAGCCTAACCGGGAAGATTGAAGAATACCGGACCACTCGTACATTATTGCGCGAGAAAGTGGGGTAGGTGGGGCGGGTGGTTGGGGTGGAGGAGGGGTTCAGGGGGGTCTCCCCCCCCCCCCCCCCCCCCCGTAAAAATTTTGATGAATAGATTTACCGGTCCGAGATTCTCCATTGAGATAATCTAGATCTATATATAGATTTTCTAGATAGAATCTATACATATTAAAAAGGCCGGCACTATTTCTCCGAACGTTCGGGAAAATAAAGCTAGGCACTATTTCTCCGAACGTTCGGGAAAATAAAGCTAGGCACTATTTCTCCGAACGTTCGGGAAAATAAAGCTGGGCACTATTTCTCCGAACACTCTGAAATCACATCCTTTCCCGCAAATTTCGGATATTATATAGATCTATAATTATAGTATAGGCCTACCAAAGATTGTTCGTATACAATATGGTTCAAGCGGTCCAAAAAAGGTCCGCAGTAAATATTTATATAAAGAATGCTACAATTCCAAACAGTTTTTCGCTACAGATATGACGAGTTGCCTATGAAGGGTGCTGCTCTTAAACGTAATGTGTTGTGTTCACTCGTGTTCTGTCTAGATCTAGATCTAGATCTACGGAGGGTTATTGATAACGACACATAGAAATAGAACTATTAGAACTGGCATCTGCGGTGGTCACTGACACGACCAATAATGTACCGACACTGGCAGGCCCCTTAAGGTGTGTGATTCCATAATTTACATGTAATATCCTCTCCTTTAAAAAAAAAAAATTACTCACATTTAGGGTTAAAACAGCCAATCTTCTTCGGACAGGTGGACACACGCCCTTATTTGTTAATGTTTGTTGTTTATCATGGGCTGTTCTAATTTTGAACGAACATTCTGTTGTGAAACATTTCTTTTTCACGTTTTTACACTCATCTAAAAATCTCTAGACTAGCTCTTGAAAATTGAAATAAATATAGACCCAAAAATTTGCTCCTGTGTGTGTGTGTGTGTGTGTGTGTGTGTATGTGCGTGTGTGAGTGTGTCTGTGTGTGATAGTAAGTGTGTAAGTTACTGTAAGTGGAGAGTGAGTGTGTGTGTGTTTGTTTTTAGAAACACAGGATCCATTCACTCTAGGGCTCACGAGTCGTTCATCACAGGATCCATTCACTCTAGGGCTCACGAGTCGTTCATCTTTTTCAGTTTCACTCATTCATTCAATTCCCGTGTTCTCTCCCGCGGCTCATCCCCGTCCGCATGGCTTTCACACCCCACCCTCTCCCTCCAGGCATACACAAAGAAAATCTCACTCATTCCCTTGCACCCTGCGAACCATGGACAATAATATAGGCAAAACACTGCCTAAGCTGCATTATTTTCGTTCGTGAGCTGTGGACCAGGCCAGGGGGGTCGGTGTCGTCGTCTTGTAGTTGCTGTCGGGTGTGGATACACTTGCACATTCTTCCTTTAACCCACTCTTTCACTCACACTGTCTCTCCATCCACAGCTCAGCTCGTCATACGTTCAAAAGTTGTCCATTGGTCGTGTTTGTTTAGTTAGTGTGTGTATAAGTTTGTGTGTGTACATGTGCATGATGGTGGTGGGTGTGTGGTGGGTTTTACTGAAGGTTGTCTGTAGGCGGGCTTTCCATGCGGTGTTCCTTCCCCCAGACCAGAGGCAGAATGAAAGTTGGCGCCGAACTCTCGCAATAAATAGGCAAAACATCACGAGACCGGAAGCCGTAAACCGTTCGGAGAAATAAAGATGGGCACTATTTCGCCGAACGTTCGGAGAAATAGTCACTTCGTATTAAAAACGGGAAAATTATGAATTCCTCTAAGGTTGAGACATAGCATAGGCAAAGTCAGTCCGCTGGTCCAGTATTCTTCAATCTTACCGCCTAACCACTTGGCCACCGACGCCTAGATGATCTAGAATCTAGATCTGAGAGGACGGCAACTGTACAGGAGTCGGAGTACCCAATAATTAAGCTTGTGGCCCGGCTATGTGTACGGCACTCCCTCCCGATAGAAGTATACTCACGGCCTTTATCATTTATGAATGACATTTTTTACAAATTGTTAATATCGTCATGTCCTTTGCGCCGTTAACTTGGAGTCTAGATCTAGACTCACGTGTAACGTACGAAATTATGCAGGCACTGATCATAATACAAACACTGCTACACTAAAATGAGACAGTTCTTTACACCAGCATTCGCTCCGCGTGACCACTTTCAGTTTTAATGTTTAGAAAAGGCCGCATCCATTACAACCTTGTTCATGACCTTTGACCCCCCCCCAAAAGGGATGTAAGGATCCTTCCATTTTTAAGATTGAAATGGAGTTTTATCTATGTTTATGCTCTTTTAAGTGACAGTATTTTGCTTTTATTGGGGAAAAGAGCTTTTCTATTTTAAAAATCGACATATTTATTGAGTGTATAAATCTGAGGCAATTTAACGATTGTACAGTTGTACCAGCTCGAACATTTTTACAACGATAAGCCCCCAGTGGCTGGTCAGGAGTCAGTAGTCAGGCTAGATACTAGATTCTAGATAAAGGCCTAGTCCTGAGTATCTCTCTCCTCTGACCCTTGCTTCTTCGGACGGACACCGTGCGAAGCGGAGCGGTCGATTACCGACCACGACACATGTCACTGTAAGTGAACTGTTAGGCCTACTGTAGCATCTAAATTCCATGCACTCAATAAAATATCAACATGTGTAGTGTAAGCTGGTTAACGTCGCGGGAAAACTGAAAGGTAGGGCTACACTATATACTATAGTATACTTCTGATTCTGGATTCCTGATCTTAAAACAAGAGCCCAAAACGGCGATCGACAAAATTACTGTGTGAATCGTGTGAAAATAACATCATGTTCACCTTCCAACCTTCGGGGGTGCTACTTTTTACCCAGGCCCAGATTACACGAAGGCTGCTCTTATTGGCGCACATGGGCAATAACCCATACAGCCTCACCTAAAATCAGAGTCATGTGGGGCATCAGGCACCACCAGTTGGGGCATTAGGCACCACTACTCTTGGGTGCAAAAAACGCACACCCATTCCTCATTTTCGAAGTCTACACTGGACCCAGTTTGTGTCCATACTGCTGCCGCTGGTGCCATACCTACGATATTCTGTGTTGTCATCTTCGTCGACTGAGGAACTGGAAAGTGGACTCCTGCTCCTTGATCGTTGAGTCGATCCTCCTGCAGACCTCCCACCTCTTCCTCTACCAATACCTCTTCCTCTCACCCTGCCACGACCTCTCCGGGAAGCAGCAGCTTCCTTTCCGGCAGCAGCCACTTGGAGACGTGCAAAGCATTCATCAGAAGTGAGGCTCTCACCATAGCGGAATCGAGTCACATGCTCTGACCTGCCTCGAGCTGCATGTTGAAATCTGGGGGTCAGTTGCTTAACAAAGAAATCTTTCGCAGAGAGGCTTGATGTAGATCCTGGAGGGGCTGGCTGGGACGAATGTGATAAAGGTGTTGCAGAGGGAGCTGACGACGAGGGTCCAGGAGAAGGCGCTAACGAGGGTCCCGGTGAAAGTGCCGACGTAGAGGATCCAGGAGAAGGTGCCGCTGACGAGGGTCCAATGTTGTTGAATGCTTTCTTGGGTGTCTTTCCGTACTACCACCGCCACATAAATTCATCCAAGTGGGATGACAGCATCGCCTCATTAGTAGTACCACTCGTGGCTTTAAATCGTCTCTTGGCATTTTCCCAAAAGTTTTCAACCTTATTACCTTACGACGTGTTGGTATGCCGGCACAACGGGAATATTCACTATGTTATTATATGAAGCAAACCTGTCACTGTTTATTATGCTGCCAGGAGCAATATGCCTTCTTATGCAGTCTTCGAGGGTGGCATTTGTTCTATCGGGCATTAATTCCAAAAATCCATTTCCAGAGTGGCCCCATCCACTCCCCCAAACACCCACCTCTGTTGCACAACTCTCCCTACATTGTTCTTCCTTTCAGCAATTAAACTTTCGTCTATCTCCACGTGCTGTCCAACACCACCTATTAGAAAAGGAGTTTCCACTAGCTTGAATGAACACACCTCACGGAAGTACGCGAACCACTGGATCACTGTATTCTCACTCAATCCAGTCAGGGACACAGTATGAATAACTGGCTCCTTGAAACTCCAGGAGAAGAGAAGTTCAACCATGTCACGTGAAGTCAGCTGACTATGTTCAAAGAAGGTGTCCTTACACAAAAAAAAACTTCTCACCTTTATGAGCTGGGCACCTAAAGCATCGTTCTTCACCCCTACCAGTTTTGACTAAAGTCATCTGCCTCAGATATTGCAGACAAATTGGAGGCACTGATCTTATTAAATTGTTTTGTTGTAAAAATCTAAGCGCAGCTTCTTCATTGGAGGCATTCTCATATAAAATATTATAAGCCATTGTTGAAAAAAAACATTGCAAAACTCATGGCGTCACATTGTGGAACTCATTTTTAAAAAAATGATGAAACACACAACTCAAATCTTATTTTTAAAAAGGCACAAGAAAAGGAGGAATTAATGATTCAATCACTGAAGAGAAGATTAAACAGCAGTAACAGTAACTCTATAGAAATATCCTGGAACTTTACACATGTGACTAAAACTAAAATGAACCATGCAAATCAACTGAAGTGGCGCGAAATTACTTTGGCGGCGTGGTTTGCTATGCCAAAATTATATAACAAGTTTAACATGTCATATGTCTAGATTTTATAATATGATTTTTGAAACGAAGTGACTATTTCCCGAACGTTCGGAGAAATAATCACTTCGTTTCGTTTTTGCTGTCCTGGCTTCTTCCCTTTATGTTTGTCCTCAACGGATACTTTTGTCATGTTTGCGCTTCTCACAACCTCCTCTTTTACTTTTACAGCTTTTTGAAATTTCAGGAAATGTTTTTCTCTTTGATGTTCTGTTTGATTATATACCAATGGTCTCAGGGAACAGGAAATTTGCCGAACTCATCACTTAACAAAAACTCACCCACCCCATAAATTGCTCTATTTTGACCTCCCTGTATTGGCCTCACACAACATCATGAAGTATGCAAACAAGGTGCACAACCTTGAGTGACTTCCAGTTAGTTGGCTGCCTGTTTAAGCACATGGTTGATGCTTTCTGAATTGTTGTTTGTCCATTGTTGTTTGTCAATATCTCGGGGATTGGTATCGTTTCATTTTTTAAAACACAGTGGCTATTTTTACGGCGAGCCGTAAAGATAGCCCCCCAGGCTATTTTTACGGTGGTCACAAACTGATGACGTAGAACGCATAACGGTGCCTCTGCTAATCTCTGCTCCTCCTCTCGCTCACACATAAACTGCTCCTGCACTCCTTCACTGTCAGTGTCAACATCTACAACAGTGTTAACTGTAACACGACGTCCTGTCTGCCATGCGTCTAAAAGAGTCCGGTGACATTGTAATGGATACCTGAATTCTCTAGAGGGTCGCTCAGAGGCTAAAGTTGCCAGCTTATTGTTGCAAGAGTTATGTTGGCGGCCTGTCTGAACTTTTCATGTTGTGACAACACTTTAGGAACTCTGGGTTGTGTAACCACAGAAAGGGCAGCTGGTGATAAACTATCTCATTGTACAATCACAGCTGGCTTTTTTTTTGGTGGTAATCACGTGTCCATCTTCTGTCGGCAGAAAACAGTGTCAAACTGAAGCACTGACGCAAAGAAAGTATGTGGCGGCATGACAAGGAAATGGATACTGGAGTGCCTCATGTACAAGCATGGGATGTAGTCTTAATTTCTTGATACGGAATTAAAGATGCTCTGTTTATTAACTGTGTCTACATTCACAGGAGAGACAGAGGACATGAATTTAAACTGTTTCTCTACAAAAGAAAAGGCATAGGGAGTCAATACATCATGAAAAAGTTTTCATTTAGGGCCTACAGGATTAACAGGGGTTTTCTGGTAACATAAAAGAGCACGATGGTCTCTTTCAATACACAAAGATGAAATGCAAGACATCAGTCCAGAGAAAAAGACATCAAGAGTTGAAAAGTTTGTTACAACACTTTTAATAATTTTGATTGACGGCCTCCAATCTGTTAAATGTTTTATTTTTAAGGCCCAGAATGCTGAGAACAAAAAACCTTTGAACAGAAGTAATGCCCATCTTTTCAGTTGTAATCTCTCTTTTCTTCCTACGCATAACATGAAAAAGACGAATTTAATAAGCTTCTTTGCACCAGGAAGGTTCTGGGCAAAGACATCTCTCTCCACTTAATCTTTATCAGTCATGACACATTTTGTCCCATTCTGCTCCAGCCACTCCAGAGTTCAGTTGGTCGTGGCCTTCACCCTAGCATTCGGGAAACCAACTGAGGCATTGGGTGCCCGTCGCCAGAGAGCACTGGTCATGCCAAGTACTCTCTCTGCCCAGATATTGTTGGGGATCGCTGACTTGGTGGCCTCTTTCACTGCGTCCGAAGGATTTGACAGTGGCCCAGACACATAGGACGTCAGCTGATTCCTGAACACCTTGTTGAAAGCTGACACGATCGATGTCAGGACCTTCACAAGCAGGTCATGGTCCTGTGGTGGGCCCGCAGTGACTGGAGAGTCTGGTCAACAAGTGGTTGACCAAACGCATCATTGTTACCAGACAGCATAGTGTCTGGATGGGAAGTGTATCCCTCGATAGAGGCAGGACAGTTTTTCAAAAACGGCACCATCTCTGAAATCTCAACATTTGACAATTGAGTACTGTTGTGGTAAAAAAGCCGCATCCAAGGGCCAGGAGCTGCGCCTGAACCCTGCAGTCCTTGCTACCTCAGAGGAGATTGGAGCAGAGGGCAGACTCGTTTCGACAGTACTTCTCCAAGTACTCCCTCAGGGGCGCTTCGTACTGGATGAGGAACCCGGCCAGGTGGACAAGGACGTGGAGCCTGTTTCCAACGTAACGTGTGAAGGCTCCAGGAGGGATGTTGTTCTTTTTCAAGAAGGACTTGAAGCCAACGGGGTCTCCAGTTTGCTTGCATCTGCAACACAAAGAGAGCCAGAATTACTGCTCAGCAACCCTATACAAGCACACATTGAGCAAGGGAGATTCCAAAAGATAAAAAAAGAACTGTACATAATTGTTTAAACTACTTCTTTTCTCAGGAAATTATGCCATATATTTTTGACCCAAGTTTCCATTATATTCAGAGGGATGTTTTGATTCTGATGCACACAAACATGGCATAAATTACCAACAAATTTGCAGTTGCATGTGTCAGTTTTCACTCTTTTTATTCAATAATTACTACATTCAACTGTTGAAGAAGGTACAATCTATTCTTGATTAGATCCACTACATTTTGTATACCTACAACACTTTCTGATGTTTTGTGTCTAATTCTCTAATTCTAATCTCTCTCAAAGGGTAACTTACGTTTCCTTTTTCTAATTTGATCTTTAGCTCAAGACGTGGATTTCCCCCACTCTCCAAACAGAATGAGCCATCCTCAAGGCACTGTGAAATGTTGTGGTCTCGGTGGCTGTATCCCTAGCTAATTTCAGTAGGATAAAAAACAAATTGTCTACTTTTGTATTTTGCTTCCTATCAAAATATAACCTCTTTTAGGACACAATGAAATGCTTCTGTAAACATGTTTGTGTTTGCTAATGTTCCAATG